CCCCAATGAAAAGCAGGGGTGTCACTAGCACGTTAAGAGACAACACAATAAGTGTCAGGGGCCCAAGACTGTCCAACTGCCTCCCAGCATACACAAGGGGGATTACCAACAGACCCTTGGCTGTCTTCAAGCAGGCACTGGACAAGCACCTAAAGTCGGTACCTGACCAGCTGGGCTGTGGTTCATATGTTGGATTGCGTGCAGCCAGCAGTAACAGCCTGGTTGATCAGGCCCTGATCCACCATGAGGCCTGGTCACAGACCGGGCCGCGGGGGCGTTGACCCCCGAAACTCTCTCCAGGTAAACTCCAGGTATTTCCACTGGGGTATATTCTAGCTCCTCTCCCAATATGAGGTCTAAAGCAATTTACTATGCATCTATATACTGCTATCTAACGGATGCAGCAGGTGTTAGGAAACTTGACTATGTAGTGCATCACCCAGGGTTCAACCAGGGTACTGTACTTCCAGCTGTGAGCCAAACTTGCTACACACCAGTACAAATAATTCTGCTCTCTTCATTTATAATAATAATAATAAAAATAAGATAATCTTTATTCTTCAAGTACATGATATAACTTATACAGACCTAGCTGACATCAATTACATACTATATAGAAAGCCCCTGGTTATGCAGAGCATTTCGGACAACTTAGGTTAATTTTGTCCCCAGGATACAACCCACACGAGTCAGCTAACACCCAGGCACCTACTTACTGCTAGGTAAACAGGGACAACGGGCGTCTTAAGAAAATACGCCCAATGTTTTCCACCTGTACTGGGGATCGAACCAAGGACACTCAATGTGTGAGATGAATGTGCTACCAACTTAACTAGAGTAACTTTCTAAATGCCCAAGTCACCAAAGTTGGGTATCGTTAATGCATTATACAGCAAAATAACAATTATTTTCTATAATTAGCTCATAGCTCAATGATAGTGACCAGCTCACATATGAAAGACTCTGATTCTATTTTGGGGCAGTTGGAGATGTTCCCTCTGTTCAACTTTTCTGGGTCACATCTGGGAAAGTGGACCAAAGGATCCCATTAAACATAGCTACTGTAAGCCACACTGATTGATTTTCTTGATTTGCACTGACCTATGCTACTGTAGTAATTTTACGATTTCTCTACTCTTCTCACCCGAGTTGTTACTTGAGAATGATCCAGGTTGGGTGTTTTGCATGTATTAAATAGCAATTATGTCATGTTACAGTACTTAATTCCACTAATTAATTGTGAATTTTACCATAAATAAAGATAAGGATACTGTATGGCATCTAAATTCAAAACTGATCAAAGAATTTTCCTCAAAATGCTTAGCTGATTTCCAATTACCAAATCTTCAACATTATATTACAAATACAGTGGACCCCCGCATAACGATGGCATCACATAGCGATTATTTCGCATACCGCTTACTTTAATCGCAAAAATTTTGCCTCACATACCGCTTAAAAACCCGCTTACCGATTTTCGTCCGAGACGCGGCCTGAGCCACGCTCACATGTTCCGCAGGTGGCATTGTTTACCAGCCAGCCTCCGCGGTAACATCCAAGCATACAATCGGAATATTTCATATTATTACAGTGTTTTCGGTGCTTTTTCTGGAAAATAAGTGACCATGGGCCCCAAGAAAGCTTCTAGTGCCAACCCTACAGCAATAAGGGTGAGAATTACAATAGAGATGAAGAAAAAGATCATTGATAAGTATGAAAGTGGAGTGCATGTCACCGAGCTGGCCAGGTTGTATAATAAACCCCAATCAACCATCGCTACTATTGGTGGTACAGCTGCTGCTGCTGCTGCTGCACTGTCAGCTGCTGCTGCTGCTGCTGCTGCTGCTGTAGCACCGTTGTTGGTGTGGCTTATTGAGAATACCAAGAAACAATTAACCCCAGAGGATTTGCCACCCAGGATAACCCAAAAAAGTCAGTGTCATCGAAGACTGTCTAACTTATTTCCATTGGGGTCCTTAATCTTGTCTCCCAGGATGCAACCCACACAAGTCGACTAACACCCAGGTGAACAGGGAAAAATGCCTGGAACTAGTGCTCATATTGGTGAATTTAAAGCCAGCAAAGGTTGGTTTGAGAGATTTAAGAATCGTAGTGGCATACACAGTGTGATAAGGCCTGTTCTGGAAGAAAATGCCAAACAGGACCTACAGTACTCAGGAGGAAAAGGCACTCCCAGGACACAGTGTCTCATCAGTCATTGCTGCATCTTCAATAAAGGTAAGTGTCATTTATTCTTCATTTAGTAGACTAGTACATGCACAATATATACTGTGCATGTACTACTCTACTATTGTGCATGTATCCTTCTCTTTGTGTGTGGGAAAATGTATATTTCATGTGGTAAAATTTTTTTTTTTCATACTTTTGGGTGTCTTGCACGAATTAATTTTATTTCCATTATTTCTTATGGGGAAAATTCATTCACATAACGATTATTTCGCATAACAATTACCCCTCTTGCACGGATTAAAATCGTTAACCGGGGGTCCACTGTATAAACAACCAAATTACAGAAATGTTTAAAAACCTATAGTCTCGGGCTGAGGGACTAATTGCCTCGTACATACTTATCTTTCCACTAAAGTTGTTTCCATTATTTAAGTCACCCCTATTTGAACTGAGGAAGCCTGCTATGCAGAAAACCCATATCAGCAGTAATGATACCAAACTGTTGCATGTGTCTTGTCTACTTGTTGGTATGGCATGTCATTAATACAAGTGTCCATAGTTCAATCCCTGACATGGGTGAAAATGTTAGCCATGTTTCCTTACACCTGCCGTCCCTTTTCACCTAGCAGTAAGTATGTACCTGGGTATTAATCGACTGGTGTGGGTCGCATCCTGGGAGACAAAACTGAAGGACCCCAATGGAAAGTCCTCGATGATGCAATGGCTTTCTTGGGTTATCCTGGGTGACTAACCCTCTGGGTTAAAAATCCTAACAAATCTTATCTTGCAGCAAATTCACATAAAGCAAGACTCTTGTGTTGAAAAACAGTACCAGAAAAAATTTTTTACCGAAAAACAATGTACTGTACAATATTTGAAGACTGAATGCTTGATAATTTGCCATGACTTCATTTTTTGTCACAGTATATAAAAGATTAAATGCTATAAATGCAAAAATTTTGTTAGTAATACTTCTGGCCCTATTGGACATATCCATTCAAACTGCTGTAATAAACCACACAAAATATAGTCTCAATTTTATCTAACGATGTTTTATGGAAAAATATTTACCAGATATAGAAGCCCTATGGATTCATTAATAAATATGTAATGCAAAAGCTCACATGATCAACTTTCTTCCATGAAGACATGACACTTGCTGGGAAGAAAGCTGAAAAGCATGAAGGTTGTAAAAGTTAACGTGACCTAACCCAACAAAGTGTATAACATCACCTAGTCTGACAGTGTATAACATCACCTAGTCTGACAGTGTATAACATCACCTAGTCTGACAGTGTATAACATCACCTAGTCTGACAGTGTATAACATCACCTAGTCTGACAGTGTATAACATCACCTAGTCTGACAGTGTATAACATCACCTAGTCTGGCAGTGTATAACATCACCTAGTCTGACAGTGTATAACATCACCTAGTCTGACAGTGTATAACATCACCTAGTCTGACAGTGTATAACATCACCTAGTCTGACAGTGTATAACATCACCTAGTCTGACAGTGTATAACATCACCTAGTCTGGCAGTGTATAACATCACCTAGTCTGACAGTGTATATCATCACCTAGTCTGTAATAAAGTTGGTAGAATTACCGACAATATGTAAGGTAAAAGGACACAAGTGCAACTAATGTGACACTTTATTGTGGCAACGTTTTGCTCTCCAGAAGCTCCTGGAGAGCGAAACGTTGCCACAATAAAATGTCACATTAATTGCACTTGTGTCCTTTTACTTTACATCACCTAGTATGACAAAGTGTTTAACATCACAGTCTAACAAAATCAAATATTATATGTACATATGTTATGTGGAAATTTAAGTTGTTGCAGCTTTCTTTTAATTTAACTTTCTGCACTTTGGTTAAGCTTGCAGATAAATCTCCACTCCTGCAGCGCTGTATAGCCCTTGTGGTTTAGCGCTTCTTTTTGATTATAATAATAATAATAATAATAATAATAATAATAATAATAATCCACTCCCACCATAATGACTGCTGCTGCTGCTTTATTTTACCTCGGAATATTTTTTAATTTAAAGAATTAATATTAGTACATAATTAATATAGAATGAAAAACAATGACAACCAACAATAACCAAAATTATATAGTAAATTACTTGAATAAAAAAAATAAAAAAAAAATACATAGACTTCTGCCACGATTAATAAAAATCAAACAATGTGACATTTCAATACTATAACCAGAAAAATAATTAAAAATAAAAAGCCATGGCCAGTAGTGCTTTTCACCAACTTTCCCCAGTAACATGAGTGGCAGCACAATGTCTGAGGTCTGGATATTAGCCATTTGGAGACAAATGTTATATAATAACATGGAGACAAATGCAATTATGCGATCCATCGGGGTTTCGCCCACAGTGGTTTTTATCAAGTTCCTGTTAAATCTCTTGCTTTATCAAGTTCTGTGGGCAAAACGTTGTCTCAAAAAGATCGCCTTATGCATATTTCGCCATTACCGTGCTGTAAGATGGTAACTGGGGGGGGGGGTTATCGATGTAATAAAACGTCAGGTGGGAGAGACGTCTCTTAATATGTCCCAGTTACACGTCTTTCTTACGTGGTTATTGGTGTTAATACCATCTGAAACGTCACTTGTTGTAGTGTAGTGTGATGTAGTGTAGTACAGTAGTAGAGCAGTGGGTGTGGTGGGTAGACATAGTGTAGTGGTAAGTGTAGTAGTCATGCCATACATGCCAGTCCACCTCCCCTACAGTCTTTGTTATGGAGGTGCTGCCAGCACCGACCTGCCTCGCCTCCTCTCACACACTCACCAACCTTCCTGACGACGGTGTGTGGGGCTGACACTGGCTGACGGCGGCACCAGCGACACACTCTGCAAGCTGGAGTGACAGCAGCAGCAGTAGTAGTAGCAGGATGGAGGAGGGCAGGAAGATGGAGTGGCTGCTGCTGCGACGGTGAGCGGAGATGACCCAAGCGACTGCTGCTTCCCCCCTCCCTCAGTGCCTCCATCCCTCCCCCCAGCCACCCACTGGTGCTCCCCCTTCCCCATCTTCCCCCCTCCCTCCTTCACTGCCCCCCCATCCACCACCAGCCAGCCAGCCAGCCAGCCAGACTGCAGCCAACCACAGCTCGCCTTACCTCAACACCAATCAAAACCCAGCTTGAGCTGACAGGAGGAGGAGGAGGATGGGGGAAAGGAGGAGGGGGAGATTGGGGGAGTGGAGGCGAAGGGAAGGACGAACGGGAGGGGGAACACCTATTGCGCAACCCTCGCTTTCCTCCCTCCTTCCCCTCCCTCCTGAACACTCCCTCCCCTCCCTCCTGAACACTCCTCCCCTACCCTTCTTCCTTAATGTGTTACCCTTTTATTAAAATTATCTTTGCATTTCTTATCTTATCTTGATTCTTTGAGTTATCCTACTTTACCTCTTTTCACATCTCTCTTTCCTGCCTGCCTTCCTCCTTCCTCGTTAATAAGTTACTTTTCTTATCTTTACCCTCACCATTATTCTCCTTTCCTCCCGCCCCCTCCTCTTCTCCCTCCCTCTCATCCTCTCCTTTACCCCCCCAAACCCCCCCCTCCCTCCCTCCCTCACCCCCTACAAAGGCCACCAGCACCCCCTCCCACATCTTAACTAACCCTCCCCACCCCACACACCCCAATCCATCCCCCCCCCACACCTTTTCTCTTTCTCCTCCCCTCTCCCCTTCCGCCACTCTCTCTCACCCCACCCTCTCCCCGACCCCAATCCGCGACTCTCCCCTCCTCCACACGACACCCACCCATTCCTTCCCTCCTCTTTGGCAGCTCCCTTCCCCCTCTCCTGCTTCCCCCATCCCCATCAATTCAGCAGCGCCCCCACACTCTAGCGAACCTCCCCTCTTGTCATCCTCCCTTCCCATCTACCAGCTGTAGGAAACTGACCTACGCATCTAAAGTAACTTCTTATGCATCTTGTACTGCCAGTGCTATGTATGATAATTTATGTAGCTGTATATGTGTATACCTGAATAAACTTATTAATTCCAGACCTAGTCGACTGTCTCCAGACTTAGTGGAAGATTGCCAGACCTGGTGGACGGTCGCCAGACCTAGTGGACGGTCGCAAGACCTGGTGGAAAGTCACAATTCCTAGTAGACGGTCTCCAGACCGTCAGTGTGAATTTCTAAGTCCTTGGCTATCTGTCTTTTCCATGTACTTCAGACCTGGTAGACACTCGAGACTTGTTAGGCGATCTACAGACCTCTTAGGCACGCTCCACCTGTCAGGAGCTCTCTACATCTGTTAGGAGCTCTCTTAAACCTGTTAGGCGCTCTCCACACCTGTCAACATCCACATCTTACAGACGGTCTCCAGACCTGTGGGAAGGCGGTCTCCAGAACTGTGTGGGGAGACGGTCTCCAGACCTGTGTGGGGAGACGGTCTCCAGACTTGTGAGGGGAGACGGTCTCCAGACCTGTGTGGGGAGACGGTCTCCCCTCAATACAAGAAATGTCATATACATTCTATGTACTACAGAAACTTAGAGATCGTCGTAATGGTGGCCAGAAAATATTGAGGGAGAGGTGTTGGTGGTGATGCTGGGGAGTGTTGGTGGTGATACTGGGGAGTGTTGGTGGTGATACTGGGGAGTGTTGGTGATGCTGGGGAGTGTTAGTGGTGATGCTGGGGAGTGTTGGTGGTGATGCTGGGGAGTGTTGGTGGTGATGATGGGGAGTGTTGGTTGTGATGGTGGGGATTGTTGGTGGTGATGCTGGGGAGTGTGGTGGTGATGCTGGGGAGTGTTGGTGGTTATGTCGGGGAGTGCTGCTGGTGATGCTGGGGAGTGTTGCTGGTGATGCTGAGGAGTGTTGGTGGTGATGCTGGTAGTGTTGGTGATGCTGGTAGTGTTGGTGATGCTGGGGAAAGTTGGTGTTGCTGGGGTGAGTTGGTGGTGTTGCTGGGGGAGTTGGTGGTGCTGCTGGGGAGTGTTAGTGGTGCTGCTGGGGAGTGTTAGTGGTGATGCTGGGGAGAGTTGGTGGTGATGCTGGGGAGTGTTGGTGGTGATGCTGAGGAGCCTACCTGGAGGTTATTCCGGGGATCAACGCCCCCGCTGCCCGGTTCACGACCAGGCCTCCCGGTGGATCAGGGCCTGATCAACTAGGCTGTTACTGCTGGCCGCACGCAGTCCAACGCATGAATCACAGCCCGGCTGATCCGGCACTGACTTTAGGTATCTGTCCAGCTCTCTCTTGAAGGCAGCCAGGGGCTTATTGGTAATTCCCCTTATGCTTGGTGGGAGGCTGTTGAACAGTCTTGGGCACCGGACACTTATGGTGTTTTCTCTTAGTGTACCAATGGCGCCCCTACTTTTCATTGGGGGTATTTTGCATCGCCTGCTCAGTCTTTTACTTTCGTAGGGAGTGATTTTTGTGTGTAGATTCGGGACCATTCCTTCCAGGATTTTCCAAGTGTAGATTATGATATATCTTTCTCTCCCGCGTTCCAACGAGTACAAGTGCTTCCAAGCGTTCCCAGTAGTCAAGGTGTTTGACAGAACTTATACGTGCAGTGAAGGTTCTCTGTACACTCTCTAGATCTGCAATTTCACCTGCTTTGAACGGAGATGTTAATGTACAGCAGTATTCCAGCCTAGAGAGAACAAGTGATTTGAAAGGGATTATCATTGGCTTGGCATCCCTCGTTTTGAACGTTCTAGTTGTTATCCCCTCCAGTTTTTCATAACGGAGTAGTTGGAATTTGTCCTCATTGAAGATAAGATAAGATTTCGTTCTGATTTTTAACCCCGGAGGGTTAGCCACCCAGGATAACCGAAGAAAGTCAGTGGGTCATCGAGGACTGTAACTTATTTCTATTGGGGTCCTCAATCTTGTCCCCCAGGATGCGACCCACACCAGTCGACTAACACCCAGGTACCTATTTGCTGCTAGGTGAACAGGACAACAGGTGTAAGAAAACGCGTCGAAATGTTTCCACCTGCCGGGAATCGAACCCGGGCCCTCCGTGTGTGAAGCGGGAGCTTTAGCCACCACGCTACCTTATGAACATCATATTGTTTTCCGTTGCCCACTGGAAAACTTTATTTATATCTTCTTGGAGGTTAACCGTGTCCTCAATAGATGACAGCCTCATGCAGATCCTAGTATCGTCTGCAAAGGATGATATGGTGCTGTGGGTTACATCTCTGTCTATGTCTGATATGAGGATGAGGAACAGGATGGGGGCGAGTACTGTGCCTTGTGGAACAGAGCTCTTCACTATGGCAGCCTCCGATTTAACTCTGTTGACCACTACTCTTTGTGTTCGATTGGTTAGGAAGTTAAAGATCCATCTCCCCACTTTCCCAGTTATTCCTTTAGCACGTATTTTGTGCGCTATTACGCCATGATCGCACTTGTCAAACGCTTTTGCAAGGTCTGTGTATATTACATCTGCATTCTGATTTTCTTCCAGTACATCCAAGGCCATATCATAGTGATCCAGTAGTTGTGAGAGGCAGGAGCGACCTGCCCTGTACCCATGTTGCCCTGGATTGTGCAATTTTTGGGAATCCAGGTGGTTTGCAATACTGCTTCTTAGCACTCTTTCAAAGATTTTTATGATGTGGGACGTTAGAGCTATTGGTCTATAGTTCTTAGCTAATGCTTTGCTGCCACCTTTATGGAGCGGGGCTATATCCGTTGTTTTAAGTGACTGTACAATTTCACTCATGTCCAAGCTCCTTCTCCATAGTGTACTTAGGGCACACGAGAGGGGTTTCTTGCAATTCTTAATGAACACAGAGTTCCACGAGTCTGGGCCTGGGGCTGAGTGCATGGGCATGTTGTCAGTGGCTTTTTCAAAGTCTATCGGAGTTAGTGTAATGTCGGAAATCTGGCATACATTTATGGAGTTTTGAGTCTCATTCATGAAGAAATCATTTGGGTCGTCGATCCTCAGACTGATTAGTAGCTCACTAAACACAGAGTCGTACTGGGATTTCAGTCTTTCACTCATTTCCTTGTCATCTGTGTAAGTCCCATCCTGTCTGAATAAGGACCCGATACTGGATGTGGTATTTGCCTTGATTTTGGCACATGAAAAATATTTCGAATTTCTTTCAATTTCACTAATAGCTTTAAGCTCCTCATGTCTCTCCAGGTTCCTGTAAGAGTCTTTTAGCCTAAGTTCGACAGTTTCCAATTCCCTGGTCAGCGCCTCCTTCCATGTATCAGATATTCTAGCGTTCCTGAGGAGCTCAGTTATTCTTCATCGTCTTCTGTAGAGGGAGCGTCTTTCTCTCTACAGTTTACGCCTGCTCTTCTTCTTTCTTAGGGGAATATGCCTAGAACATGCTTCAGCTGCCAGGAAGTTGATCCTTTCAAGGCACTGGTTTGGATCCATGTTGGTGGTGATGCTGGGTAGTGTTAGTGGTGATGCTGGGGAGAGTTGTTGGTGATGCTGGGCAGTGTTGTTGGTGATGCTGGAGAGTGTTGTTGGTGATGCTGGGGAGTGTTGGTGGTGATGCTGGGGTGAGTTAACGGTGGGGAGTGGTCGTACAGGGGAGTGGTGGTGGTGGTACTGGGGAGTGTTGGTGACACTGGGGAGTGGTGGTACTGGGGAGCGTTGGTGGTGGTACTGAGGAGTGTTGGTGGTGATGCTGGGGAAAGTTGGTGGTGATGCTGGGAAGAGTTGGTGGTGATGCTGGGGAGTGTTGTTGGTGATGCTGGGCAGTGTTGTTGGTGATGCTGGGCAGTGTTGTTGGGTGATGCTGGAGAGTGTTGTTGGTGATGCTGGGGAGTGTTGGTGGTGATGCTGGGGTGAGTTAACGGTGGGGAGTGGTCGTACAGGGGAGTGGTGGTGGTGGTACTGGGGAGTGTTGGTGACACTGGGGAGTGGTGGTACTGGGGAGCGTTGGTGGTGGTACTGAGGAGTGTTGGTGGTGCTACTGGGGAGTGTTGGTGGTAGTACTGGGGAGTGTCGGGGGAGGCACTTGGAAGTGTTGGTGGTGGTACTGGGAGTAGTGGTGGT